CAGTAAAGAGGAAAATTGTTTCCAACATAGAAAACCGCTTCTAGACAATTAGTATTTTTGATGATATTAAAAAAAACTTTTGATTCAATCAAGCATTGGATTCTTTTCAGAAAGCTTCCATATTATGGAATACATGGCACGGTGTATAAGCTACTACAGAGTTATCTCTCAAATAGAGTACAGTGTGTTGCATATAATAACGTATTATCAGATGTTCGATACCTCGCTTTTGGCGTCCCACAAGGGTCTATATTAGAACCGATACTATTTCTTCTTTATAATAACGATATTGTCAACATTCCTGAGACTCCTGAAATTGTGGTATACGCTGCCAACACAAATGTGTTTTTCTCTTCAAAAGATCCAACAGTCATCGTACGTGATGCTAATATTTACCTCCAAAATTTATCGCAGTGGTTAAGTGGGAATCAGCTACTTTTACATACACAAAAAACTAAGTATATTATCATTTCTGCTATAAATAAACTGCTCCAACGTCAAAATGTCATATTGTTCGAATCAGAAGTGCTACAACAAGTTTCAGAATGTAAGTTTCTTGGTGTCTATTTCCACGAATCCCATCGGTGGACGTATCATGTAAATTATGTAAAACGTAGTGTAGCCCAAACAATTGGTGCCCTAAACAAACTTCGTATGTTGTTACCCGAGAACATAAAACGACAACTTTACCATTGTGCTGTTCACACAAGGCTACAGTATTGTATACTAGTTTGGGGCGCTATATCAAAAACAAACATTCATGTTCTTTATCTAATGAAAAAACGTGCTTTACGATTCATTCACTACTTATCAAGTCAACAACACGTTCCTTCCTACTTTAAATATAGCTACATATTGACTATTAGGGACATGTATAATCAACGCCTAGCCGAAACAGCCTTCCTGAACTTGAAATCAGACCCAGAAATATTTTTGTCATTATATACTAATGCTGATCCGCATTATAGTCTCAGACACACTGCGTTTTGAAAAATTCAGACTAGGACAGGATACAGCATACAACTGCTCCAACGGCAGATACCAACTCTTTTAAATATGTACCCTTCTCTACTTGATGTGATGCACAGCTGCTCTTCTTTGCTAGCCTTCCGGAAAAAAGTTAAACAGCTTCTACTCGAGCAATAATGTCATGTTCTTCTGTCTCCTCTTTTGTAGCTCTATTATTGTGTGCGAGTGGGTTTTGTGTTTCTCTGTAAGATAATTTTGTGTTTAATTTCTGTAAAAAACTATTTCTTTTTGTTGTGTAACAATAGTTATTTTATTACACATATTTATACTTACAAAGTTTGACTACGGGTTCCAGAATTGAATAAAAACTGTGTATGGTTTGCCTGATATTGTTGTATAGTTGAACAATAAATTGCATAAGGTTTCGAATTACAGTTTCTAAGCTATTTGCGTTTTGTATTAAACTGTTGATTGTGTGATTGTGCTGCCTGGGGCTATGGGCCTAGTCAGGCGACTTTAAATGTTGCCTTTTGCCATAGCCCCAGGGCAACCTCTTTTGTTGCCGAAAAAATAAACAATTCAATTCAATTCGCATCAAGCCTGCCTAAGACAAGTCCGCGAAGCACTGGCATGGCTCAGTGGTGGATTCTTGGTTGGCACGCATCCGACACGGGTTATATCTCCACTGTGCCCTTGGTACGTACTATTTTATTTCTCATTTTGTGCGATAGTGGATACGTACTGGGCGGAAGCGGTGGCGGGCCACTACGGCCCCACGCGGGACTCGAGTTGTGATCTTATGACAGGTCTTGCTGTAAAAATGCTCTGAGAGGCCGCTCTTCCAGCTTTCGCTGTGACGGTGGTGCACGTCACGCGTAAGCGTGGCATTTTTTTTTCTTCATCCACTTTTATTTCGTCACACTTCTATTTCAATTACTTCTAATATTATCCTATGTACTTCTCTTGGCATGATTATTTATAAGTGGTCATTAATATAGTGTGTAACAGAAGACGAGCTCTTGTATTTACAAATTTTTTTTTACATAAACCACGTTCATTTTCTTTATGCGTACGCGTACATCCTGCACTTATTTTGCACAAGTGCCATGCAAACACTGTGATTTTCGTCATCCTGTGACAATGCTATCAATGCGACCACGGCACCAGACTCCCTACTTGACACTGCCCCATTGTGCGAATTTTAAAAGCATGAAAGGCAAAGATGCAGGCTATAAACAGTCCCCTGTGAAATAGCTGCTATAGAAGATGGCCAACAGTCCATTGTCGGTGGAAAAAATCCTAAGCAAAGATAAAAAAATGGAAACCCTTAAGCTTCGCTTTTAAGTGTTGAACGCGATAGCGAAATCCGGCCCCTAGTGAACCCTTCAATCGCTGTGTGCATACTTATTAATATATTTTGTTACATACACACATACGCACACCAACACACACACAGTAGATTGGGACAGCGCGCGCTATTATCGCCGAATGGGCTCGTTTTCGTCGTGACACCTGTCGAACAAAGCGCATTAAAGGGGCCGTGAAAATTTTTTTTAAGTAACCATGGAAGGAATTCATTAGAAGAGCTTATTGCCTCACGAATTCAACGTCGCAAGCATTTTAAGAATCAGTCCAGTGCAAGTGGACTCACAAAGGTTTATCGCATGCTTCAATTGCATTATCTTTTCTCTCGTCCAGACGAAAGCAATGGAAGCTAAGCAGGGAGGGGTGGCAGGGCAAAAAAACCACCACGCCTTGTGACCTTGAGCACTTCTTTTTTCTACGAATGCGCGGCTTTATCAGTGTGATCGCACGCGCACGCTTGGAAAAGTAGCGGCCTCTCACGGCTATCTCAGTAACTTGATTTTTCGGTCACAGACGCACAGACGATTCGTCGCTTACAACCAACGGGGCCGACGCCAGCGGCGGGTTTTATGCGACACAAGCTCGTTAATGCCATCACGTTCAAACTATCTCAGGTCCACGCGAGGGGGCCTCTTTACCATTAACGATGTAGTCTGGAGAGGGCCCGAGCCCCCCAGCCACCTATATTCTCCACCTATGTATATGAGTGTGTACCCCTGCGATAAAGACACTCGCCGTCAGAGCGTGAGGCCTAGGTTTAAACTACAATATAGGAAACATGATCGCTTTCATTCAAACAACTTTTGGGTGTGTAGAATTTCAGGGACCCAGTATCTTGCATCTCCTGTTGGCGTGATCACGCTCGAAATCTGGTCCTCGGTACCGGCTTTTACGTTTGGCCGAGTCGGGTTCCAAGCTGGTAGAGGAAGACCATGTCAGATGGAAGAACGTAGGTTCTAATGCGGCATGCATGCCGAAAGAAGGTGCACAAAGAATGGCAACATGGCGTGGTGTAAGTCTATTATAAAGGGAAGCTGTGAACAAAAGGGGTGGGAACGCACATTAAGGCCTATGTGCTGCAACAGATTATCTTCCGGAGCAGATGAGCCAGACTTGGGCACTGGCTGATAACAGTGAGCGATGCGCAAGCGCATCACGGCCTAAAATGGGATTGGCAGTGCTGAAAACCAAGATAAAATGAACCAACAAGCCCCAATATGATAATAAAGCAGAAATTATGATTGATGATGGGGTTGAATGTCTTCACACCACCGCATAATTATGAGAGACGCCGTAGTAGATGGCTCCGGAAATTTCAACCACCTGGGCTTCTTTAACGTGAACCCAAATCAGCAGAAATGACAAAGAAGCAATTGTGGTAGTTAAGCTAAAGGACCCCTGACACCGAATTTGGAACATCGAGATGCATGTACGTGCTCTTTGTATGAAAGGAAGAAGGGTACAATTAAGGGTCCGTTTTTCTTTGTTACACAGAAGATTAATGACATGTTTGAGCTTTGACATTTATTTTCCAGCACAAAACGCTGTCTGAGAGCCCTGCATGCGGGAGCACATCTGACCAACACTAGCGACGAGCGTTGCTTATAAAATGTATTTATATGGTTTTAAAGTGAGAGTTATTGCTCATCCGAATATTAAGGTCTAATCGACACCGCCTGTGATTTGACGTAGACACAGGTTACAGGTGATGTTGCTGAGGGCAAGCGAGTATTTTGAACGTCAGAAAATACTTGCGCGCCGAGTACTCCGACTAGCACCCGGCGACGCCTTTTTGTGTCACCCCTTCTTTCTCTCCGCAGTCAGGCTGCTCTCGAATGAGTTCTGGCTGCTAACGCCAAAATGCTTTTCTTTTTTTTCTGAGGGGTAGATGCTTAAAGCACGCATATCGTTTCATTCTTCACCATCCGCGGGTCCCCCCTATCGGAAAACTGCTCATTCAGCGTCACCGAAGGCTGACTGCACATACTTTCAGGCGCTCCCACGATGTGGGTTACTGGATTTTATGGTATTTAGGTGGGCGTTCCAGACTGGCGCAATGTCATTCTGAATTAGCAATGCTATACCATTGATAATACGATGCATTAGAGCATTCACGATTTAATTTCGTGATTGCCAGACGAAAGCTACCAATCACTCTAAAGAAGTTGTATAGAAATCATTCGGTTTAAGGAGCCCTTCAAATTTACTAAATATTACTAAAAACAACGCTTTGGAAGCAAGCGGCTGACACCTGCATTACTCAAAAGCGGGTGCTGCCCTCTAGCCAAGCCCATGATTTTTCCTTCTAGGGGCCCCTCTACGGCGCTTCCGTCCCATTTGAAGAGGAAACAACCTGACGGAATCCGCTGCTGACATCTCTCTTAACTTCTCCACAAGCTAGAATTTGGATAGAGCTTAGAGAAAAGTATACGACGCATGTCACACGTCAAGTTAGCGAGTATCCCTAACAAGATTACATTCACTTCTGGGAAACCCTGCGTGCTTCATTGGTTATATTGAAAAGGGAGCTATGAACTGGAGTCGCGTGCACGGTGCGTGTGGGTTTCAAAAATTCCACAGCTTTCGCTGCAACGAAGCAACATTTAGCGCAACATTGAAAACTATACCAATCATGGCGCTTCGTTCAAGAAACTTGTTTCGCTTACCGTGAGAAGCGGCGAGATAGGAACTAGAAGACGCACTGGGCTTCGGATTAACGTCATGTTCGCTACGGGTGCGAGGGCGACCAGCAGCAGTATCTGAAAAAAAAAGCAAAATTTTAAGGGAACTGTAAAATCCAATGTGTGTTGATCGATATGTGGGGTTTAACGTCCGAATACGCCTAATGATTGTGAGAGACGCCGTAAATTTCGACCGTTTGGGTTTCTTCAACGTGCATCCAAATCTAAGCACATAAGCCTACAGCATTGTTGCCTCCCTACATAATGCAGCCGCTGCACTTGGGATTCGATCCCGTGACCTGGGTGGGGGTCATCAGCTGAGTACCTAATCCACTAGACCACCTCGGACGAGAAACCGAAGCGTGTTCAACGAAAGCCTGTCACCATTCGACCAGCTATTCCACCTCTTCTTTTTGCAGCTTCTCAGAAATCACGTGATTGGTGAAATATAGTATAGGGATTGGCAACAGCTGTGGCGGTGGCACTGTGGCTATGCGTCGCTGAGCCACCAGGTGATTGCTGGGAGAGTGTGACGAGAGGCCATAGCTGGCACCGTTCCAGGAAACACACAGATGGATGGTCACTATGAGTAGGAGACATTGAGGGCTTTCGCCGTAAAATGCATGCAGAATGTTTCCATGCTGACTTCAATGGCAAATCGACATTGGCAAACTGCGACCACAACAACGCATGAATGTTGCGAAAGACTTTTCACACTGTGTTATAACTCAATAAAGCTTGCTGTTGGGTTAGTTGGTCATTCGTCATATTTTAAGATATTTTAGCGCAACCTTCACTCTCGCAAACACTCACATAACCACTCGAGTAACACACAGAGCGCTGAGTGTCGTTTGTTTTACTCCGGTGGATGTGTTAGTGTTTGGTGGGTGTTAGCGAGAATGAAGGTTGCGCTAAATATCTTACAATATCACTCTGTGATACCATGATATCTCCTTGTTAGAGCTTTAGTGGTGGAATGCCAATGCAATCAACTGAAAAAAAGAGAGTTATATTTGCCTTCCAGTCTTGGGCAGATGCATCGTGAACCACGCGACTTTTTTTTTTATGCAGAGTGTCCACGCTATAGCGCAACGCGGAAGACAAAAGGCATCTGAGATTAGATATTAGTTCACGTATGAAGGTGGAAATGCTTAAGCTTATTCAACAGTCAACGTGCCTTGCCTTTATAAATAGCTTTCAGTTGCTTACTTTATCGTTGTAATGTGGCTTGTCGGCCAGCATCACCCATGCTGCCGTGTTTCCTTGAGAGAATCCCACCAAAAACAGTTGCGGCCATCCAGTGCGTGCCAGCACGTAGTCCACAAGGGCGGGTAAGTCCAGCAGACCAACTTCATCCAGACTGCAAGTCCATGACCCGAGCAAATAGAGCAAATAACAAAGATTGAGAAAGGTTCCGACGAACGTTCATCGACAAGTGCTATTACTCAGTGAGACACTCTCTACAGACTGTTGTCTTGGACTGGGACGAATGGATGATATTTAATGGGTCCTTCGGAACGCGTGTCAGCACATTTTGGGCCGCTCCATAGTAGGCACAAAAAAAGAAAGTCGCTAAATAAAAATTTTTAACATTGCGTGAGGCGTGTAGCCCGCGACATGTGTTATTTGTGTTTATTATCACGTATCTATTCAAAAGCCTACATTATTCTGTACAACAAAAGTTGCAATGACGACAAATTATTGCGATCTGCATTTTCAAGTTCACTGCCAATGATTTTAACGCTCAAACGCGTGTGTCACTTGTGGTCTGATCTAGCATAGACTAAATGAAGACCGTAGCCTGTTATTCAGTCCACCGATGAAACTGTTTTCATGTCGGGAGTAACGCTCTATTTGCCCGTCACAGCGGCAACTTGCTTTAATTTTACAATTCCTGCGCAATGGCAGCATAATGAATAAGACAATGGTGCTGATAGGGTGCGTCAGCTTTCAGCCTTGTGTGTACGATCCTGACAAATCCAAGACAACTTTCACCGTATGCTGCCGTCATTGCTTGGCTTTCAAGTGTCGCGCGTTGAAAGTTGAAATGAGTGTCACCGCACGCCATCGAAAATGACCTACTACTGAAGAAAAATAGCCTTTCCACGTTCAGGCAGGTACTGACAACAATTTACTCCTTTATTTCTTACAGTTTAAAAAGGGAAGATCAGAACGACAACCCTTCCAAGCAGGCTATATTCAAACTCACTCACACTCAACTATGTGAGCGTTGACAGTCTCGAAAGAGTCAAAGTTAGGATGTAATATCCCTCTGCGGCAAAAATCTTGGTGATTATTGCATTATGTCGGCCCATGAAGCCACACCACTTGGTTTAACATTGTTTTCTCATCGATTGCCTCCCTTGAAAGCAGACTCAAGTGCATCATCCGAGACTTGCAGGTTCAAAGCGTATGGAAGGTTTCACCTTCACATACCGGAAATCCCAATAGCGGCTCTCGCTGTCACTGTACTCCAGGTGACCCCTCGAGTAAGGCGTTCCGCGGTAGTTTCCAAGCCACACGTCGTAACCAGCGTCTGCAAGCAGGAATCCTGCGCAACCCAATGTTGTTGTTTTTTGTTTTATCGCCTAGAATATCTTAATTCATATTATAGTGTTCATTATATTATCAGCGTCTTTTTTTCCGTAAGCATGTGACTAGTGCAACGACGTCGAAACAGAGGCCTTGCTGCAGAGAATAAGATACCACATTTCATTGATTGATTGATTGAATGATTGATTGATTGATTGATTGTCTGCCCCTATTACCCCACCCCAACCCACTCTGGAGGATCGGCAATAAAACGAGTGGTGCCTTGTTATATAAAGGAATCTGTTCATAATTTCATAACTTTAAGCCATATATCTTTTTAAATCATTTGTTAGATTATGATCTATTTGTTAGCAAAAAAGAAAAAAGGGCTAAGGGTTCTTTTTTGTTTCAACGTTTAAGCTAATGTTTAATGTTTCAACCTTACAAATCCATTCATTTTACTAAATAAAAATATAACCAACTTGTTTTGAAAAATATGTGTGATTTCGATTAACTCAGTATTCAATTCGTCTCGTCTCTCGTGGGAAATAGCATACGACCTCGCAAACGCTCCTGTGGGTAAAACCCAGCACAGCGGCCCCAAAAGAAAAAGCACCGGAAGGAATCAATTTAGTCTCAACGTGCAAAGCACAAGATGTTCGGTCTATTTTCAATAGAACGCGCAAGCGAGTTTTTCTTCGTCCTTTCTGTGGTCCTTCATAACACATGCATATTAGTATCATCGCCTTTCTTGCCGGAAGCAAGTGACGATAATACACATCAAATACTGATGAGAGGTTGACATCAAAGAGACCACCTGAAGTATTTTTTTTATGTTGCACCACAAACGAAAAACAATAAATTTGCAAGTAGCACCTTCGTGCTAAGATAATTAAATGGAAGAAATGGCAAAGTCGAACAAATAAGAAAATAAGAGAAATGGGATGGCAATAAACGTCTCAGTAACGACAGTTCACAATTCACTGAGGAGCTAGCCAACGCACTCCTTTAATTTGCGACTGCTGTATATAGCCCAGTGTGTGTAGCATACGCGCCGAATATTGCTTACCTCAAGCCCTGGTTAAGTTTGCCCACTAAAAGTACCTTCAGAAAACTTTTGCTTAATGTCTTTGATTCACTCATTATCATTCGACAATCTGACAACTTCGCAGTGATTTACCAATTGTTTGGATGCTTCTGTCGATTGTGAAGTGAGAGTATAAGTGCAATAAAATATGGTTATTGCGATGAGCCCAATGTAAGTATAGATTGTGGTTTCATTATGGGTAGTATTGTGGTCGCCCTGTGACATACTATAGGGTGCAGTTTCTTGTTATTAATTATCGTTAAAGAGCTCGTTTCGCAAATTTTTCTGCGTGTGCATCCACGTCGCTGATTGTGCGCAAAAAATCATCTTGTGCGTGACCGAAAAATGTACAGGGACATGACGTATCCCGCACAACAGTGAACAGGATAGTGAGTAAGACGTTAAATTTCGTTTAGCCCCCTCTACATTCTCCCGTACCTATCTTTATCTTTGCGCCTGACTATGCGGTTAAGGTTAAACCTTTAAATACAATTTCACTTGGCACAACGCACGCCTATTGTGTGTTTTGTGCAGCCTGCATCAGGCCTACTAAGGCTTTATATGTCGTTCGTGCGAGTGTGTGTGAGCGAATGTATGTGCGCGTGTTAGTGTGCAAAACACCGGTTTCTACTAAGCCTTTTAAACGGATATTTTGTACAATCTGTGTGTGCGTTTGTTAGTGCGCTACTTCCTATTCAGATCCACCTGTTGTTATCCACATCTTCAAGTCACTCCGACCCAGCGCAAGGTGAATCTCTCGCATTTAAAATAAAGACTTGCATTTTCTCACCCATAAATATTCCTGTGCATATATTAATTTGTCAGCGTCATTATTCATGGTTATTTCATCCCTTTTACTTCTTATTGGCCATCGAGATTACCACCAAAAAATAGCGAGGCGGGCTCTGACCGAGGCTTTGATGTGGGTAGTTGATGACCCACTCAACAGCCGAAGATAGCAGTCCATGGACGAGCAAGACCGGTGGTCCAGGAGGTCGTCCTCCACCGCTCAGCACACGCTGCAGGCTGAGCACGTAACCGTCCTCTGTGGTGGCCACGTGTTCTTCGGCCTCGTAGCCCTTGCTTCGCACGAGCTCGGCCTGCACGACAAAGTCGCTGATTGATTGAATGATTGATTGATTGACTGATAGAAAACTTGTTCTTGCACTCCCACGTCAAGGACAAGTAATGCTCTTCATTTAAAAGCTCCACTGCACTTTGCATCTATACGGGCGATAGCGCACGCTTAGTAGTCAAAATCAAGAGGCTCATGAGCCTTGAACCTGAGCAGCACAAGTTCTTCAGGGTGAAAATTTTCCACGTCGCATACCTCTGCGCAGCAAACCATGGAATACTTAAAGCACCCCTAAGTGGTATTGCTTTTTAACGTAGGAAGGGATCGAAAAGAAGTTTGCATACGTTAACACACATTCCAGAATTCCTAACTAACTTCGGCTAACGAGCCACTTTCAAGAAAATTTGTTTCCGCAAAGGCTACGTCAATCACAATGGTAGGAGTTGGGAGGAGGGGTTGAATAGATTGTCAGCTAACAATTCAATTTATAGAAAACCTTTTTTGTATTTAATATACTCCTTACTAAATGTAATTTAGCATCATGACCCCAGCCACACATTGATGTTTTTTTTTCAAAAAAAACTGAAATATTCAGGGAACACACTACGAGTAGATACGAAAACAAAGAAGGACGACGCACATGCATCACCGTGTGTGCGTCACCCTTCCTTGTCATCGTCTACAATTGCGGTGTGTTCTCTCCAATGTTCAACCAACATGCACAAGCTTAGACGTTAAGTCACTTGAGGACTGCATTATGGACGCCAATTCTCAAATACAGAAGTTGCTTTCACGGTTATCTTTCAAAACATAGTGACCACAGAATGTGCCTTCATTGCCGTAGACCAGCCATGTATGTGCAGATCAGGAACATTATTATGTCATAATATGTTGTGCACCATAATTGTTGAAAAGATACGGTGCTCTAGTGGCTAAGGCACTCGGCTTCTGACCCGCAGGTCACGGGACAAAATGCCGGCCGTAAGGGCCAAATTGTTGATGAAGGCGAGAATGTTTCAGGCACGTTTGCTTAAATTTAAGTGCAGATTAAAAACTCCAGAGGGTTGAAATTTCTGGAGCCCTCCACTACGGCGCCTCTAAACATCACATCGTGATTCCGTGAACTTAAATCCCAACAATTATTACCTACAATAGAACTAGGCGAAGACGGACATAGATGGATTACGGGCATCGTTTTCAGGACTCCTGTTGTGCACGTGCGATCAGTCGATTAACTTTTAGATGTTATTCCTTTACGCCAAGCAGCTTTTGCGCTAATACACCTTCATTCCGCAAGGCAAGCTTCATGAAAATAACGAGTTCGTTGACAAACTACCCAGCAGCGCTGGATATTTTGATTAATTGATTTGATTTGATTTAATTGAATTTATAGTTATGGCTTAATAAGCAATATTTCAAAACACTACGCCGCCGATAACAAAAAACTGCCTGAGTATGAGTCTATAGGCCAGTATTCATACGGCAACCATAGCCTTGCTTTGAGTTTCCCGCATCAGTTTTGCGTTTTTGTGCATTTGATACCAAAAGTGTGCCACTAATCGCAAACCAGTCTAATAGTTGTCTTTTACCCTGTTATCGTTAATATGCTCTATTAACGCACGTATGGTACATAGAAACTTAAGCAAAACGTAAGATAAGGATAAAGTTGGTTTTCGAGTGTTTTGAATAGGAGCTACTTCTGCTAACTCCGGCGTATTTCAGTTGTAATTTAAGTCTGTTGATCAGTTTCCGCTGCTCCCTTGGAGGGGATGGAAGTAGACCACCCCGGGCGCCTGCCAGCACCAGTGGCGTCAGCGGCGACCGCCTCCAGGAAGCGGATGGGACAAGCGAGCGACAGCGACAGTGAAGATACTCATGCTTACTATCTCAGCAGTGAGGACTTCTCAGATGACGTGTTCCAACCTGTGCTGAGCCGCAAGGCGAAGAGAAGGAACATGAGGACATCCTCATCCTCAACTATTCAAACTGTAAGTGAAGCGCCAAAATCGAACACTTATACCATCCTGTTTCTGCCTGCACTTCCTACCGTCAGCATGAAACGCCTTAACAGACAGTCTGTGTCGAGGTCTCTGGAAACGCTCGTGCCAAATGAGATCACGGACATAAGTGTGAACGCCAGAAAGAATATACTGGCTGTGGACGTTTTGCACGCAAGTGCGTTGGGCCTTCTGCGCAGTGTAACTGACTTGGACGGCAACCAGGTGCGCTCTCATGTTCCCTTGGGATGTGATGTAGTAACCGGCGTGATCTACGACATTGATGTCGCTATTTCCAATAAGGACTTACAACTTCTTGTCAAGTCAACAACTGATACTACAATTGTTGATGTCACCCGGCTAGGCAAGTCTCGCTGTGTGAAGATTGCGTTTAAGAGCACATCACTCCCCTCTCATGTGAAGGTGGGGTACTTCAGACATGCTGTGCGGCCTTTCATTCCGAAGCCTCTCCAGTGCCGAAAATGAATGAAACTTGGACATGTGAGCAGCGTCTGCGAGAATTCAGTGGTATTCCACCGCTGCGCCGAGCACCATGAAGTGGATAAGTGCATCGCAACTGTCAAGAAATGCTCTAATTGCAATGGATCCCATGAAGCCACATCGAAGGACTGCCCGCGGATTCAGAAGGAAATTGCCAACTTGAAGGAGATGGTGCGCGATCACTCATCTCATCGAGAAGCCGCAGCTAAAGTCAAAAGGCGTCGTTCACGTCGACGTCGGTCTTCGAGGACGCCCGCTACCTCCTCGACACGTTTGCGTGATCCCTCATCAGTACCACCTCCTTTACCTCCCAGACCACATGCCGTGGGAAAGGCTGTAAAGGACAAAGCCAGTGAGCATACCCTAACTGCGACAGAGTGGCCTGCACTTCAAAGGGAAGCAGCATCAAGCGAACCGAAGGAGCTTCATGACGGCCAGTCCGCGCTCCCGGTTCGAGATCTTTTCAACCAAGACAGGCAAGTGACTGCAATCGTGCCGGTTCGAAATTTTTCCAACCAAGACAGGCAAGTGGCTGCAATCGTGCAATCATTAATTGCCACGATTCGCACGCTACTGAGCAGCATACAATCTCCGTCTGCTAAGAGTGCACTGCAAATACTGGATGCACTGAATCCAGTTCTTGCTAACTTCATATAAGCACAATGGCTCAACAAAATTTCATCTTCCGCACTGAAGTCAAAAGTGCGTCAATTTTTCAGTGGAATTCCAGAGGCATGAAGTCCCGTATCTCGGACTTTCGCCAATTTGTTCGGGTCAATCAATTCTCTATACTTGTCATATGTGAACCAAACGTATCAACGCCTTATAGATTGTCCGGTTATGAAGCTTTTTCTTCAGCCGCTTGCGAAGAACGAAGCAAAGTAATTGTTTACATTCGCACAGACTTGACTTATCTTTCGCACCCAATAAGTTCAAATGACGACAATCAGTAGGTATGTCTTCGTGTGAAGAAGAATGCAGTTTCATTCACGCTTATTGGTGGATATATATCTCCGTCATCGCGATTTGACTGCGACAGATTAAAAGACATCCTAATGAGAACCGATGGGCCTTGGATCATCACCGGTGACTTCAACGCCCATCACATGCTTTGGGGGAGCACTAGGATGAATGCCAGAGCCGGAACATTGTTACATTCGCTTCCGATTACGACCTTTCCATCATGAACGATGGTACCCCCAAATATCTGCGGGGTCTCACGTATGGCAGTTGCCTTGACCTGACATTGGTGTCACGGTGCTTCTCTCACAAAGTTAAGTGGTTTTGTGATATTGAGACTCATGAGAGTGATCACAAACCCACCTACGTGATGATCGATGGTATCATAAAAAATTTCTCTTCCGGTATTACAATTGGCACTGACTAGTCGATGTTTGCATCGCGTGTTGAGAACACTTGCCAAGAAGGCCTCGCCTGCAGCCTGGAAAATACCATAATGGAAGCTATGCAAGCGTTTAAATTTAAATTACCATTTTCCTCTAAAGTAACACAGTTTGACATTGAACTGGAAAAATTACGAGCTATACGAAGGCGTGCTGAACGACGATACAGACGCACAAGTTCAATTTACGATCTGAGGGAAGCAAGGCGGCTCCAGAAAAAGATTCAACGACGCATTTACAAACTGGAGAGCGAACGCTGGAAAGCATTCTGCGAATCTCTAGACCCTCATAAACCACTGTCATATATCTGGAGAACAGATCGTGGTCTTCGCTCCTCTCCACAACAACGGCACCCTTTTAAAGCTTCGGCACTCCATCATGGAAAAACAGAACTCGAGGTGGCTGAAGAGTTTTGCACGAGAGTTGCCGGGAATATTACGAACAAGAGCGTCGACGCCGTGATCGTTCCTGAGGCGCGATTACCAGAAATGGACATATCATTCACCATGGAAGAACTGGAAGGTGCGTTAGTCGCTTCTAAACGCATGTCATCACCAGGTCCTGATGGTATTACTTATAGTGCGTTGGGACACCTCGGACAAAAAGCTAGAAAAGAACTTTTAACATGCTTCAACAACTCCTGGCTCAGCGGCAGTGTTCCCCGAGAATGGAAAATAAGTCGATTAATACCACTTTTGAAATCGGGAAAATCACCATAGGACTTGACAGCGTATCGCCCTATTGCCCTCGCAAGCTGCCTTGGAAAAGTGATGGAAAGAATGGTTTTATTTCGTCTCGAGTGGTACTTGGAACGATACACCAAATACCCTTCTTGCATGGCAGCCTGTCGTCGGGGCCGCTCCTCCATTGACTGTGTCCTTGATTTATCGACATTTGTTCAACAAGAAAAAAGTCGCAAGCGCATATCAGTGGCACTCTTTCTTGACGTGAAGGGTGCATATGATAATGTAGCTCACGATGCCATCCTCACTTCTCTCGCAGCAATGGCCATTGGTGGACGAATGTTTCAATGGATAGAAGATTATATAACTGGCAGGGGTTTCTTTGTACAAACATATGAGGGTACAACTGCCCAACATTACATCTACTGCGGAGTACCTCAG